CACTACAAGACCCTTTAGTGAAACAGCTGTATACACTAAAATCCCCTTTAAGCCTGGATATCCACTGGCCAAAAACACCAATGGAGTAGAAATAACCATTATCAAAGTTGTTGCCATTCCCCATGTTAATATCATAGGTGTGTACAGGTCACCGAAAGTGTCAGTCCAACAAATGTGTCTAGCATTGACCCAAATTCTCAATAGTTGCTGTTCTGATTTTAATGTTTTTCTTGGGGATTTTAATGTCATTTACTTAATTCAAAAAGAGAAAGTTCCCCTCAATAACTTGTTTATAAGAGAGAAAAATTACAGACAATTGGTATCATCCTATCCTAATTAAATTAGTGTTAATTTTTTAATATAATGTATGTTTTTCTGTTTTATTTTTCGATTGTATTTATATTTACATTTTTACGTAATTATATTGATTTGTAGTTACCTTTAGAGGACCCTTCTGTAAACCACTCTTTCTGTGATGTTGGCATCCTCAATAAAGATTAACTATTATTATATATATTATCAATTTGCCTGAATCACAAGTGACTGTACACATTCTGGAAACATATTTCACTGATCATAAAGCAATATGTGCATTGATTAAAACTTGATGTTGTTAAAAATTGAATACACATGTAAGATGTTTGAGAATGTCATAAAGTACCAATAGAATTCAATGTAGGAAGATTAATTCAGAAATTCACTTGACATCCATCATCATAAAATTTATGCATATATTCATTTGATAAGATGTTCCAATTTTTCAGATCACAAGCCATTGTTTTTGCATAAATTGAAGGATAGAAACTTGAAAATAGGCACACATGTGAAGTCAGTTAGTTAACTGTCAAGTAACTGATCTAAAAATACTAATTTTCCTCAATGAAATTCCTCAATAAGATAACCTAAAACTATAATGCAATTCTGAAGGTTGTTTTGCTTTTTGGCAACCTTCTTACACTTTTTTCCATCAAAGAATAAACATAGGGATAGAGGTAAGCTTGCAATTTTTTTCCAATTTTATTTGGTTTCCCCTTTCTCTCAATAGTAGCAAACAATTTCCTAGCCAGTTTATATAATAACAACTAAATATACTTATTTCTCTGTTTAAATCTAAGTACCTTCTCCTCATTTTAAGTCTTTGTGTCAATACCAGTAATTTCATGTATTATCCCATTTTTCCCTTACAGCCTGTTCCTGAAAAATGGAGGATGAACTTACTGGCCATCTTCATAACATTTCTCCTCTAAAGAAAGGTTCTAAAACCACATGGTTTGATATGCAAATTCTTTGTTCGCAATTCATGGTTCGTGCAGAGGTCCCTAATAAGTTGTTACACATTCTGTTCCTCCAAAAGTTACTTGTAGAAGGGAGAAGACAATTAGAATGCACAGTAGAAACAAGGATTAATTAAATGCAGTATGTAATCAAAATTACAAATTAGAATCAAGTAATCGGTGTGAAATCATGTTGAATTATACGGATGAAAAGGGGGAAGTTGCGATTGAAGGTTACGAGATTATAATTAAAGATTGTTGCTGAATTTGTGTGGTCCCAACTGAAAAAAAAAGTACAGCAGTACATAAACTAAGAAAGTACCCTGGGAAATGCAACACATACCTAACTAACAATGAGACGATTATAAAGAGAACTGAGTGCGAGAAATAAACCAATGTAGTCAATACAGACCGAGAGGGAAATATCGTAAATGTAAAATAAAGAAAGACTTACTTTTGTCTAGCTCCTAACGATAGCAGATGAACATTGAAAGTAACAGCAGCAACTAATGACGATAAAAGATGAGATACAATATCTGATACATGTGCTCAAAAGAAAGTGATTGAAATGGCAAACTTATTAATTAATAATCATTAACTAATGAGGGATTAATTGTTAAAAAGAAGCCAGAACAGAAAACAAGAGAAAAGTACACGAACTACGCGCTTCGAAACTAACACTCACGTGAATACAAACCCTAGAATATTTTCTCTGGACCAAAAGCTATTGATAAAATTCAAGGAAAATAAGCAAGAAATATATCTTTATTCCAAAAAGTCTTAGATAGACCGTTCAAAAACGAAAAAACCAAGGAATTTCTTGAACTTACAAGACCTGGGCGATATATGCACCATCGTTGTTTACATAAGTTCATGGCCATAGCGTTGTGTTAAAGATTCTGGAAGTTGAATAATTTAAAGACAAAATCTTCGATTTAATAATACCTTAAAAACATATGAACACTTAAAAAAATAAAATTATCAGTCCAAAAAATAGTCAAATATCGCAGAGTCTCACTTGAAGTTAGGAAGTTCTGTTTTCATTTTCGGGCCTTTCCCTACGCTTTTGAGAATTGCATTTTTTGTTACCCAAAAACTAATTCCGTCGCTTTTACCCTTAAATTTAAATTATTCCAAGAATATGTAGTTTCCATTTAAGCTCCAAAACGTCTGCTATGATTGGGATAGATCGAAAGAGGTAACAACTGTATGCCACAAAAAAAAGAAGTACATGTAAGCAACTAGCTCGCACTAGACACATGTATGCCTTTGCATACCTATTTTTTGAAGATGGCCTCGAGCGCTGGAGACATGGAGGACCAAATGGGAATTGACCTCGAATCACAAGATCATAGGAGATTACATAAGTGTTTGACAAGAATGCAGCTGCCTAGTGGGGCTCGCTTTCATTCATTTATTCAATTTGCTGAGTTTTTTTGTGTCGTTTTGTCTGCTTACAAGTTCCTGCCTCTCTCGTCCCCAACGATACAACTTAAGTCACCATGGAAACCCCCATTCCACTTCCACCAGCGGAAATCAAATTTAATTTGGAATGTTACTTACTCAAGACATACTTGACACTTCAAAGATGTCATGCCGGGAACGTTAATGAAAACTTGGCTCTGAAAACCTGTTAATGTTGTGCTAAATCATCTAAGTGTAGCCGAACATTACAGTCACACAGTGAAACCCACGGCGTTATTTACTATGTCTTGTTTAACTATTTTTCTAGACAAAACAATATAGACTCCAGTCCTTTGCTAAGCGAGAACTGAATGGTTTTACTGATGCATTCCAATGGTTCGCATGCATAAACGCACGATCGAGTAGCGCGCGTTTGGTGGGCGTGATGTTAACATAATCTGGCTTAATCGTGACTGTCATGTTTAATTTGATATGGGAAATATTCAGTTATGGGAAGTATTCGTGTTCTTAAATGCTTTACAATATTTGAAAAGACTTTGTTATCACTGATTTAGCCTGAATTCAAAGACTGGCAAACAGAAGTTTTAAAGTTGACACGTGCTGACAAAAGGTTATAAGGAGTTAATTAGGATTCAAGTTTTGGTTACTAGTGAGAGATAAGGGTCAGGTGCTTCTTCAACAGTGCGTAACTTAATGCAGAACTTTGAGACTATGGACGCAAAGGATCGAGTACCAAAGAAAAGCAGCTCTTCCTTTGATTATGAAAAGGAAATGGAAAAAGCTTTGGGCATGATTTTTCAAAATCTACGTGACATAGAAGAGAGTCGATTTCGGATGGCTTCTTATCAGTGCGATGAACACCAGATGGCAAAGCCACTAAGTGTCTCTGAACAGCCTTGCTATATTGCAGACTTGCCGGCACAAAAGACAGATCGCGAATTTCAAGAAGTTCACAAGGAACAGGTTACAAATGTTAAGTCCAGGAGAAAGTTACCGTCTGTACCAGTTTCCAAAGGAAGGATTTTTCCCTCTTAAATAAATATGGAATATTTTTGATCGGGGACTGAAAGATGGCTTTGTTAGGGCAGACAGAAAATAAGACGTCAGGATACGGTGATATACATGCTCAGTGCAGCGAGGCCGGCGCACCGTAGTTTCGGCGATCGACTGTTCGCTGGCATCAGAGTTCTTGGGGAAAGCAGGAAGAACAGGGGCAAGTTAAGACGAAGGTTAGAAATGGAAAGTAACATTTTTGTCAGTTTTTAAGGAATAAGAACAGCCGTCTTAATTACAGTACGGCCTTTATGTTTAATCTTACGTGATAGAATTTCTCAGTACAGAATTACGATCGAAAACGCTGAAAAACCGACATTCCAATCTTTTAGTTCCTTAACTCGAAACTGGATGTCAAAAACTTTGTCGGGGGTAAATTAACGTTCAAATTACATATTGTAAGTTAATTGTTATAAACTTTACAGCAATACGTCTAAAGTAAACATTAATAACCTGAAAAATGCCACAATGTTTGTGTACCATCAACGGATTATACGCCTACATTTAGCAGCAAATAAACATGTAATAAGTTGGTGTAAATATTGTTGTAGATAGAGTAATTGTGTTTTTTTTTTCTGCCAAAACTAATTTGATGTCATTTCGTATTTATTATAATGTATCATGATTTAGCTCCATAAAGTTACTAAATCAAGATAACATGGCTTACTTTTCAGTTCAAAGAGGTGGTAAAGTAAACAGATTGTAGAAAGCGTTAATTAATTACTGCCGGAAGAGATTTAAAGAAGGGTAGACTCGCTATGGCGCTTAATCAAGTAGAAGAATTCTTGTTAAGCACACCGATTAATTCGTCAAACTGCGTCATTGTTCAAGATATTAAAAATAATGATGTCAATAAGAGATTAAAACGAGACCTCCACGAATATACATTGATGATTTCCTGTTTTTGTAGTTTTCCCGGATCACGCAAACTGGAAGGCAATAACACTGGATCTAAAACAAAATTATCTGATCTAACATCATAAGAATTGTATAACAGACAGTAAGGAGTATAAGCAATGAGTTTAGCAGTGAAAGGGTTAAGTATAATAAGCTTCTTGGAATAGAGGAATACAAAGTAAGCAAGATTACTTCTTGCCTATTACAGAATTCCGTCATTATTTTTGTTTTTAAATAAAGCCATCCATCCATCCATAATCAAAGCAGGAAAAAGTTTGACGGTTAAAAACTGCTAAAGCTGTCTCAACAGTCTATGAATGCATTTTAATAAACGGATTACCATGTCTCCACACAAAATTTTTCATAAAAAAGTTTGTCACCAATGAAAAAAGAAAAAACGTCTGGAGTCTTTTATTCGTTTTTATTTCTGTGGAGTTTTTTCTTTTTGGGGTTTTCCCAGACTCGTTCATTTGGTTGTGGCTGACGTCTAGGAGGTAATCTCCAGGAAGCTTCTTCGGCTGCCTTCCATTCTTTGTAAGCTTGCCTGTCAAGAAAAATAGTAACAAAAACATTAAACAAACTCAAAGTATTTATTCACAATCGCACACACCGTTCAAGGATCTATAAGAAAAAATGAAAGGTTAGCATTTGAAAGTTAGTGCCAGTAAGTGAATACAAGTCGATTTAAAAGCGCTCATTTAAGTGATAGGCGAAAACCTTTGGACCGTCCATTGACTTAATATCTTAGCTAAGTGTTTTTCTTAATGTTTCGAATTTCTCTACTTACCATCTTCGCCAGATCGACTTTACAGGCCACGAAATCAACATGTAAACGGTAACCACAACACAGTTCAGAACCAAGACGGTCGAGATCGTATAACCGGTTTCACGCCAGGTCGAGAAAACGAGGTGGCTCTGAATCTTGATAACATGTTCTGATGACAAAAAACCAAAAATATAGTATGAATGTTATCGACGCGGAGTAATTTTCATAACGTACCGATGAAACAACTAAAAGTGAGATAATATCTTGGGTCGTTATCACACAGGAATATTTTCAAGGTGTATTTTCAAGGGGGTAGTCCCACGAAATACCCTCAGAGGGTACTGCTCGGGGTATTTCTCATTGGTCTTTCTACTCACCGTGAACATATTCATTGTAAAACTCAGTGACAACTTCAATTGTTTCCCAAAGGTATTCAAGCACAGGTTCAATTGGTTTACAACTCCTTTCAATCACTTTCCAGGTCCATTCCGCAGACCATTTTGCTTCCATCCAAGTCCACTCAGCTAACCATCTAGATCCACTCCATGTTTTCCCAGCTGACCATAAAGCAATTTTCTGTGAGATCTCGGCCAACCATGTAATCTTTTCCTTTACCCATTCCGCCATCCCCACCGTTCCATTCCAGATTAGATGTGGCAAATATACGATATTGTTCCAAATCGATTCAGCCAACCAGAAACTACCGCTGTACATCCCTTTGGCCAACCGTGTGATCCAAGTAACAATCCAGTCCACCAAACCTGTCAGTCCACTCCAAATTTCACAGACTTGATCCACCAACCCTAAGAGTCCATTCCAGATTTTACCGACCAAACCCAATAACCCTTTCAGTCCTCTCCACATTAAACCAGCCATAGTTCCAATTCCGTCAGAACTCTTTTCCCATGCTAGAGCCAGTTTTGTGACCGTAAAGCTCCATGTGTTTTTCATCATCATCATTGCCTGTGTGATCAGTCCTGGTGCTTTACGTTTGTAGACGTTGTACTTTGAACAAGTCATGTTCCGAGGATATTCTGGAAGTTCCTTGCAATTAAGGATCTGAAAGTAAAAAAAAAGGGGGGGGGGGCAAGTGAGTTTTAACTGTCAAAGACCTCTCGAGTATATTTTAACCCGCATTTCAAGTTACCTATTTGTTTTTCATGAAACTCGGGGAGGGGGGAGGGGGGAAGGGTAGGGGTTCTTGGTAGGGATTCCCGCCCTGGCTTTTCAAGTTCAAGTCTGACTATTTAGTCAAGCCAAAGATAAATAATTCATTTCAAGAGTTGTAAGTGTAAAGTTTAGTGCTGTGTCCGCGTTGATCTCCGAGTACTTAAATTTATCGGATGTAACGTGATCGCAATCATTTTTACAGGATGAAGAGCTAGTTTTTAAGGTTGCCGCAGTGAGTATCATTTCTCAAAACCCGTAGACTGCATAAGGCATGCAGGCCTTAGATAAAAAAGCTTGATTGTTTTATTTGTGCAACGTTTAGTAATACTGTCTCCAGTGTAACCTGTAACTCGCAATTTCCCCCACCTGTATTTTAAAACCGATACTGACTATATTACCATCTTTATTTGCATCATCATTATGCATAAAATATACTTACGAAGCAGACAATACAATACTAATACAATCTACACTTCAGTTAAGTCGCGTTGTTTATCACTAATTACTAATTACTCTTTTTGCGCTACTTTACATTACTAATGGAAGCTACTTGGTCTGATTCTTACATTACTAAAAACCGTAGCGTAAAAAACAGCAACTACAGAAAAACACCAAGAAATAAAGAGGGAAAGAAAAGAAGTAAAAGTAACCAAAATATATCAATAGATTATTAAATAAGCGCTGGTATATTTTGATTACCTCTCTTTCTCTATTATTCCTTTGAAGTTGACAGACAAATAATCATGATAAGCTCTTGCAGTGCACTTGAAAACCTCACACGGCCAAGGACCTTTATGAGGCTACGTCACGATTTACGCATGCGCATTTAGACCTTGGGAGATAGTGGCGCTAACGGGCTTTTCATAGTCTTTGCCATCGAATTTCATACAATCTTTTCTGTCCTGGGATGTTGGCATCGTTTAAAGGTCTAAGGTATGACTCAAATCAAGGATACGTGTTGGGCGTTGTCAAGAGACTGTGAGTATGTTGAAGTAAGCATCTTATCGAGAGGCTATCCACATTTACCAGACTCAAAACGTTCCACTTTCTAAATAGTTTATAATTGCTTTAACTTGCCTGTAACTGTTGGATACAAATAAAGTTGTTGCTTTTGTTGTTGTTGAAAAAATCTACCCATTGGGACGGCAAATACTTACCGTTTCGTTACCGTTAGCTTGCACAAGGGATCGATGAACTAAATACACTCTTTCCGGGCCATTCATTGTTTTACGTTTAATATCAATTACAATTACCAATAGTTTGGTGATGGTGAGCTATGAAATTTTCATTTCGAATCTCCACCTATAAACTTGATGTCAACAAAATGAACAAAGGAAACCGTAAACTAAACACGTTGTAAAATACCTCTCTCAGTTTAGGTAAATCCTTCCCATGGCCTTCAGCGCTTTGGTCCTCAGAGAAGACGAGTTTCATATCCAGATCCAGAGACGACATTTGAATCCTTATCGCATATTCCTGTACCAAAGTCAAAGTTTCATGAAAAACAAATAGGTAACTTGAAATGCGGGTTAAAATTTACTCGAGAGGTCTTTGACAGTTAAAACTCACTTGCTCCCCCCCCCCTCCTTTTTTTACTTTCAGATCCTTAATTGCAAGGAACTTCCAGAATCAAATTGTAGTCAATTGTAGTCAAAAAGAAATAAACCCCTACCCTTCCCCCCTCCCCCCTCCCCGAGTTTCATGAAAAACAAATAGGTAACTTGAAATGCGGGTTAAAATATACTCGAGAGGTCTTTGACAGTTAAAACTCACTTGCCCCCCTCCCCTTTTTTTACTTTCAGATCCTTTATTGCAAGGAACTTCCAGAATCAAATTGTAGTCAAAAAAAATAAACTGAATTTGCTCTTCAAGCTTTCAGATCTGAAATAAAATTTCACTCTAACCCCAAGTTATCTTAACCCAGCTTTGAACAACTCGGCCCAGACTGTTAAGTAAAATTCAAAATGGCGACGTCTTAAGTCCAAAATTCGAAAACATTCTTTTTGTTGTTTTCTTTTCTTTTAACTCTCGTCAAATCCGGGAGGAATTTGTTCCTCTTTTTACTTAAAGTATGCCTCATAAAAACAAGTACATCATTCATCAAAGTTATTTTTCTGTAATTAATCAACCTTATCGTTCCAAGTTCCGACCACGGACGTTTCTTCTTTAAAATCTTTGAGAGATAGCTCTTGCCATTCATTGACTTGAAAATTGTTTGAGCAGAGAAAAAAATAAAGAATAGTTATCACCAGCAATATCATCAGCATAGTGTGTTACTATTTTGCATTGCAAAATGTGGATGATATGAAATATAGCCGTTTTGCAAATATGAAATTTTTTCTTTGGTGATTTGCAACAAAACCCTTTGGGTCAAACAAAGTAAAAACAAAAAAAGAAGAGGTAAAACAGTGGATTATCTTAATGAGTAAGAGGTGACGGAGCGCGTGCTTCAAAAATAACTTAGAGCCGTTTAGTGCGCACGTGCTCTCGGCGCTGGCTGGCGCGTAATACCAGCTGAATTACTATGGCAACTGCAAACTCGTTTGTAACCTGCAAAAAGTTTTGAAAAGTCTGAAAAATTAACCGTTGGCAAAGCACCCCTTGAGTTTTTGTCAAGGCTGTTCTGAATATTCTCACTTGTAGAAAATGAACACCCGGTAAAACAGTTATTTCTGTGGGGAAAGAAAGAGGCTTAAAACTGTTTCATTAAAACGTGGCGGAAACATTTTGGTGCGGGGAAAGTAGAAACCCTTGAAATCCTCTTTAAAAAGGAATGAATCTTACCGTCTTGTTTCACAGATTGTGCAGCTTTCGTCAACGAAAGCAGTAATGCCGACGCAATGAGCAATTTCATTATTCTCTTCATGGTAACGATGTTTTTTTTCCTCTCGCCAAAAAACAGCGCTCGGCTTGGTTCCGCGAAACAGACTGAAATATTGACGTCATAGTCGTGGCTTAACACGCTATATCTTGCGCGAGACAGCGCGAGACAACATCATATCAGTCGTCATCGTCAAGTCTCGAGTCGCACTAAAAACGAGTAAGACTGGATCCCAAATAAACCCCCCATCCAATATGGCGGATAGTCCAGAAGCAAAGTTGATGAGAGGACTGGAGTCACTAGATGTTAAAATTTCACAGACTCTATACGAGGTATTATCGCTCAACATTTCCGTCAGTTAAGGGTTCTGATGTTAAAATGTACCCTCTATGGTTGTAGATAAAAGAACTGGAAGTTACAAACCACGAACTCAGTTGTCTACAACCGAAAAAGGTTTGTAATTCAGTTGTATATTCGTCTACGACAGTGTTTCCCCTTTTTTGCCATGTTGACGAGATATGTCTTATTCGTTTTATTTAAAGAGAGTATTCACAAGGCAAGGACCTGGGAATGTGTTTTTCCTTTCTGATCGTGCACGCGTGGTTGGCCAGTTTAAAAGTAAGTATAAACGCGCGTAACTTATTAAGATTCCTGTTAAGTTTTACAAAACTTAACAGGAATCAACCCTTCTACCTCTAAGATCTGATTAGTTGAAGAGTGCGTAGATCACCCAGTCACCTGATGGGTTTGTCAGCTCTCAACACACGTTGGAAGATTTGTTTTCTTAGCCCATAATTTCCTTCTTCAAGTTATTTCCTACTTAAGTAAGATCAACAGAGTTATTGTACTTTTATACACAGAGAAATTTAATAATCCTTTTCAGTGATGTTGTTAATTAATTTAAGGTGAAATAAACTTCTTGTAGATTGAAATTTGGGTGAGTTTATCATCACAATGACCATACATGGCTTCAATTAATGCCTATCATGATACAAGTAATCAAAACAATCATAGCATACTATATGCAAAGCTTCCTTTATTTACAGAATGGTTTCAACCTGAAAATGAATTTAAACAGAATTTGAAAGTACCTGAGCAATAATACTGTCTAATTATTTGCCAAAGGCAAAGATGATGGAGTAGAATAGTCTCTTTGACTTCATCTTTATCAGGTTTAGATTTGTTGATATTCTAAGTAGAAGTTGCACATTAATCACATTTGAAAAATGAATTTTTGTCCTATCTTTCTGTGAATGACTACCTCAGGTTGTTAACCCTTTAATTCCCAGAAGTGATTGGGAGGTAACTTCTCCCTATAATATCCATACACCATCCAGCAAACAGGTAATGAGAATTTTAAAACTTATCATGTAGAAGATGTTATTATTGATCTAATACCAAATTCTCTAATTGATTGAACATGAAATGTATAGCAGCTAGAGAGGAGAATTAAAAATCAGATCTTGGGAGTTAAAGGGTCAGGGATTGAGACAAGTTTGACTGCAAATAGAGACACAAAAGTGAGTTGAGCTTTGTTTGCAAA